TTTTTTTTTTTTTTTTTTTGAGAGAGAGAGAATTTTTTCTATATTTTTTTCTTTGTTTTTTCTTTTTTTTTTATCAGTACAAAAATGGAAATAGATGTGGATTTTTTCCCTTTTTAATAATCTAATAGATTCGGTTGTTAAATGATTACAATTTTCGAAAAGCTATATATATATATATATATAAATATGTATATGTATGTATACGCTGTAAATGCTCGAAAAAGTGAAATCTAGCATCGAAATAGGTCGCGCTTAGAGAATATGGGAGTTGTTAACGTTAATGTCTACTTTTTGGCCCCGCGTTAATGAACGAACTCGACGTTTCCTGCAAAACTGCTGTGTGTTATGTATTACGAAAAATGCTCAAAACTTATTGTGTCCGACTATAGTTTCCTCTTTATTTCTTTTTTTTTATTTATTTATTTTTTTTTCTGAGATAGAGTATAGTAAAAATTTTAGATATTTTTTACCATTGCCTCTTAATATAGAAATATTTTTCGATGAAAAAGGTATATTACTTTTTTATTACTTTAGAGTATCATTAGAGTCATTTGAAGACTTTATTAAAAATATTGAATTTTAAAGCTATTAGTTATAAAAAAGACACAAATTAAAAATTAATATGTGAGGAAAATATTACTATAAAAAATATAATTCTGACCTCTTTATACTTCTTTCAAAAAAAAGTTTCAAAATTAAGACTAATCACTGTAACAAATTTCGAGCAGTTTTCGTACAACTCAATATAAATCAATTATCGTTAAAATTGTGCATTTTATCCTCGTGTATCCATGCAACATGTAAAAACAAAAAACAAAAAAAAAAGACAAGGAAATTAAGCATCGTAAAAATTGAAAAAATAAAAGAGAAAAAAGAAACAGAATCTCGAGGCGTACACACGTGATTCTACTAAAATAAATGGTTTGAAATTAAATCCCGATTGCTTACCGACGACACAAATGGTCGCGAGTCAGACGATTTTGGCAATGTCGATGGAAGTAGCTGAAAAATAAATCGTATCGATAACTCGAACAGTTCTTGGCACGATACACGGACACACATATAAAACAAAACAAAAAAAGAAACAATTAATTAAACAATTAATCGAATTATGTTTTCAAAAAAAAAAAACGTAAGCTCGTACAAGTAAGCTTATATACGAGTTTCGAATCGATCGCAGTCTAATCCTTTCTTTCTCAATCGATTTAAAATGGACGTTGTTTCGATGTGTACGATAAGTCTCGTTATCTTATGACAATTTTATAATTATGATTCTTTCACATAGACGCATACATGACAGACATTCGTGCGAATCGATCGAAGATGATGAAACTAGCACACGTGTCAGAAATAATGAGTGCAGGATGTTAAAAAAGATGATTTTGGAATTTAAAAGTTGTATTTCGCTGTGCTTTTAATATGAAAAACTTAAAAATATAATTTATAATTATTCTAAAAAATTATTGGAAAGTCTATAAAACTTCATTCCCATTTTTCTTAATTTTAATTATTGTATATTAACTCTTTCACAGTCTAATCTAAGAGAGAAGTCAAGAATAATATGAATCTTGACAATGAACGAATAATTTATTTTATTGCTAATTTTATTACACTGTAAAAGAGTTAAAGATATATTAATATTTTATTTTTCTTCTATTTAAACACATTCACCCTTTTTAAATTTTCCTTTTTTAACTCCCTGCACGATAATATCCCGAAGATAAAAATTTGATGAGTATCAAAAAGAAAGTTTCTCATTTTAGGGAAACGTTCCATCGACGAAAGTTTAAATCTTTTCGGGATATTAATATTCCTATGTAAATATCAGAACAGTATAAATTGCAGCGTTTCAGGTATTTTCGTGTCATATCGACGTATATTTCCATAGTCGATATCTCGACAATCAGCGGTGCAACACACAAGCTTTCGCCAACGACAAGCGAAAATTTTATTGAAGCTTTTCTCGCAGAAATTTCGTGTATATAGGTCCATCATTCGTATAAAAATGTTTTTGGATAAAACATTAATGGAAGAACTTATTAAAGAACTGAATAAAAAATGATATTGATTAATAAAATGAAAAACATGAACAATAAAATATTCGATATCCGTTGTTATTAGTTCTTCGATTAAGTTTATTTTATTTAAGAATATAGTTTATTTAAGAATGATTGGAATTATTAAATTCTAAAAAGGTATTATTAAAATATGAGAGTGATAATTTTAAAAATTGTGATAATGAAAAGATAATTTACGATTAAAAATATGAATGAAATATAAAATCAATGTATAGAAAGACTTATAGAGTAAAATGAATTACTTGTAGATATCGATATTAATTCTTAAAGAATAAAATTAAGATTATAAATATTTTATATCCAATTATTTTTAAATATTGATACGATAGAACCTATTTACAATTAAACTTTTTATTCTTAATACGTTCAGTGATATTTTCATTTCAATCAAGTTGAAGTGACAAAACATAAATACCTATTGATAAATATTTAAATCTATTGTTTAAAATACAAAACTTAAAAATTTATGCATATAAATTTATGTACTAAACGTATTAAGAATATATACAGAATGTCCTAATAAAATTATTAACAAAATTTGAATATTTAATATTCTACTCGTTCCGAGAGTGAAGAAGATCTCATAGACATAATGATCATAGAATAAATGATCAAGCACTTTGCATCTTTCAAAAACATAATAAATTTACAATAAACAATTATTTCAAATGTTCCATACATGAAATGAACTGCTAAAATATTTAAAATTATGATACTTTCACTAATTTCAAAATAATTTCATCCCAAATTGAAAAATTCTTAAATCATTACAATATGACGATGAATAAATTAAACCAATATTAATATAAAAAAACAATATTATCTTAAATACATTATACATATATAAGAAATAAATATCTAAAATCTTTTCAAATATCGATATTGAATAAAACCTTCGAAGATCATTAAAAACTAATCTAAAATTCCTATCCTAAACCACAAACAAACGCAAAAAAATAAAAAGATATTCATCCTAACAATTAAAACATTTTCATCCATAATACGATTGATTCACTCTCGCAACAAGTAGAACATAACCGAGATTACGAAAGACGAGAAGCATTTTTATCAGAAAAACTCAAGAGTCGTCAGCTTGAACATCGATCGTGAAAAGCTGTCTCGAAACACGACATTTTTCGCGCGAGAACGCTGATTGTAAGATAAATTATATACGCAACATCGTTCATTTGCGGACGATAGACAAAACGAAATCACAAAACGGCGATACTCACACCAAGCTGGTGTATACTCACACCGAGTATATTAACAGTGACGTTCTAACGGCCGATATGTATGTTGCAGAATTTACATAAGTCGATTCTGAAAAGAAACATTAGCAACAATGTAATTGTAATGCTCCGATATATATCATCGCGGTTCGAGATTTGATAAGAGAAAAGGAGATAATCGAAGAGAGAAAGAGAAAGAGAAAAAGACATACAAGTGGAAAGATAGAAAAAAGATCGAGAAGAGGAAATAGTTGTCGAGGAAAGGAAAAAAAAAGATAGCTCGATATATAATCACCCCTTGTCGGTAATGGAAATGGAATTCTTTCGATATTTACATAATTTCATATAGCTTTGTAAATTTATTCTGGAACGTTGCCGGATCGGGGTGCGACGTTATGCAAATTAATTCACGAGCTGGACAACGATTTTTAATCGCGTGTTAAACCGACGATAGCGAACCGTCGATGCATATACCAATGGGATCTGATCGATTGGAAACCCGGTGAAATAATAGTCGAATGCTTTTTTTTTCTCTCTTTCTCGACAGGTCGTAATTTCACTTCCGTTTCAATGATAAATGAGAATGATAGTTATTCGAATACGATTGAGATAATATTTTATGTTTATCTGGATTTATCGTTGCGTCTCTAATGGCAGTACGAGATTGATTGGAATGTTTGATTTATAATGAGGAAAGAAGTTGATAGAAAACAGAAATAAGGTTTTTTTTTTTAGAAAAAGTTGGTGCAAGAAATGAGATGATATTGCATGAGATGTGAAAAAAAGTTAATTATAATTATAATATGTGGTATATGTATAAATTGATCATAAGTTTAGGAAATGTTGAATGGAATTTATAAAATTTTTAGAATTTTCTGAAAAAGAATCCTATAATACAGAATGAAAAAAAATTGATTATAATATTTTAAATATAGGAGAAAAAAGTGATTCAATAATATGTAAATATTCTATATTTTAAAAATAAAATATCTGATTTGAAAAATGTTATATAACACTATACAATCCATTATTTTCTCCTACTATATCAAGAATCTGATTATTGAATAAACAAGCATCAAAATTCCGAGTTATAAATTTGGAACTGATAGATTCTTATCATCCGAAACATGTTTTCAGTAATAAATACGGTAGAATTCGTAGAATGGATCTGCAAATTGCAGAGCACGCGACGATTACGTCGAATTCTTTCACGCAGGAACGAAGCTGTGTATCTTGAGAACGTGAAGGTCGACGTATGTAAATTAATTCCCTTATCGATAAATATAACCTTCGCTATTTTTCGACGATAGAAATAGAAATGCTATTCAATCGATAAATATTATACATCAAAAAAAAAGGAAAGGGCATATTTCATGCATATCAAAATTTCAAACTTCAACTCTAAATTCATTCATTTAATTGATAAAATCAATAAATAAATTAATTTTATTTAACATTCATTTATAATTATCCATTATAATTTAGATTTCTTTTCTTTTTTTGATATTTGATAATATCAAATCATCTTAATCCCTTTCACCATTCCACCATCACATTCGTCACATTATAAAGTAGCTAAATCCACATTCGTCGTCTCGAACACAACGTGAAACTTGGTGGATTATAATCTGTCTCGTTTGAAAAAGTGGATTCGCGATTCAGACCGGAAATAAGCTGCTCGTTTATAAGCAGGATTTCCATGGTCGACAAAAGACGCTTGGCGGAAATTTAGGTTAACTTTCGATATAGAACAACCGTTTCGAAACCTTCGCATAGAGGATCCGATGAATCCCTGACCTATATCCTTTAAAACATTATATCCCCATTACGTGTGCCTCGCACACGAAAAATCTATATATTCGTGTATGTTATACTACGCGTGTATACGTGTAGACACGTGTATAAGATGTCCTGGAGGACAGATCTTGGGAATCGTGGCAGATATCTCGATGTAAAGAAGTCTCCTTTGCGAATAAGGGAACTTTCACCACGAAAGGCCGGCTATGGCACCGGTGAAATTCGATAAAAGTCCAGCTGGAAAATTTTGTTGCTGGCATAGCACGACAAAGGCACGCGAAGCATGCCACTTTGATCTTGATGCCTTTAGGAAATCTGATTTCCAGTTTTGTACATTTCTTTGACGCACGTTCGTCATCCCTTAACGCGTTTCTGAATCGAAGATCAAGAATTTTTCGACCGATTTCTTTCAATTTATCAAAGAGGATAATTTATTCTATTTATTTGTATAATTATATAAAAATAATTTTAATTGAATAAAACGAATCTTAATTTAATAGCAACATATAATACATCAAGTTATCATATTTATGAAATAACTCGATATATTATATAATTTAATCTCGAATAATTACAAAATTATTTGCTTCAATCAGTATTCAATTAAATGAAATATATCGAAGTATGTAACGAATATCAGTTGCAAATATTAACATTCGTGTTTGATTCTTATCTGTTTTATGAAGAAACGTACAATGTAGAATTTCATAAAGTTTGAGAATTGCGTTATGGAATGGAAAATGCTGCATTCAAGATCTAATGAAAGGAATAAGACTCGTCTGAACGAACATACGTGATCCTTTCTCTTTTCTCTTGATGAACACGAATAGCTTTTAAGGTTAAATCGTATTCCTCGTGGTGGCTTAATCCCTGTTCAACAACGGCAATTTGGTCCACTTATGAACATTTCTGATGTTTTCACGGACATGGAATTCACGTTTAATTTCACTATCGTGTTAATGCGGTTCAGGAGAGACAGTGAATAGATCTCTTTTTTCTTTTTTTCTTTTTTACTAACAACTCGATCTGATTTCAGTGAATCAAAGCCAATTTGAAGAAATAGTGGATGAAATGGCACATGTGGTTCTTTAAAATCAATTTTTGAAGAAAATAAAATTGTAAAAATAAGGCAATAATAATAAAAATTGTGAAATGGTCTTTGATTTTTTGAATAATATAAAAAGAAATTGTATCATATATATATATATATATATATATATAAGAAAATCAATGAGACAATGAAACAAGTGAAAACTAGCAATAAAAGAAAAAAAAATTGCCTGCAAATCAAACAGAAAATAAAAGGAAGAATATTAAATAATTCTATCAAAGAATCCATTTTCCATAAATGAATCGACTTTTCCTCTCACAAGACGAGACAAGATAAAAGATACTCTGGGAAACATATCGGTCTCGTTAAATTCTTCCACGCAATATCACTTTGTCGGTTATCTCGGATTTTCCGTAATAATGCGATGCACGTAGAATGATGAATGGAAAAGAGAGATCGAGGGGGTGGAAAGTTGAGATAATTACGTGTTGAGGAGCGGACCGATAGCGGGTCGCCAATGAAACAAGAAGTCTCTACCCCTCTCGCAAACGAAGCTGATCCGAAGAGTTGGAACTCGGCCAGAAACGTTCGGCTAATAACAACTACCGGCGACGACCTTTTCCTGGCCAATCGAAGTTTATTCCATCGGCAAGAGTAATTTTCCTTGTGGCCGCCGTTAAAGATCGCCGCCGATTTTCCTAGGTCGTTTCGGTCCTTTTGTTCTTATCGGTGTTGAAATTTCGTTACGAAATACCAGGTAATAAGGTAAAACGGTTTGAGAAAGAAACGAAATGATTTTCTTAACCGTTTTAGAGTTATGTTATTTTTATTTTATATATTATATTGTGCTGATAATAATTATTTTTGTATTGTAATTGTAATGTTTGATATTGAAAATAATAAATATTGAAAATAAGTGGTAGATTTATAATGGAAATGTGATGTATTTAATTATTGTGAATGGAAAGATAGAATTGCAACATTGAAATTTTTTT